AATAATATAGAAAGATAGTGTTAGCGAGCACGATATCGTCAATTACTCGAGAGTACAAGTCGGTGGCAAACCGGGCTGGGTTTTCAGCTACGAAGGAAACTATTTCTCCAACTGAGCAGGCTAACGTGGCGCGAACTATGCCACGACCCCGATAAAAAGGAAACGATAATCCAGCGTCGAGCGCACCGCTCAACGAGTGCTCTATGCAAATGCCGGCACCGACGGAGGGGGTGCAGCGGCGGCCACGGTCGCCGTTGAAAAAAAGATCGCAACGAAGGAAAAAGAAAAAGAGAGAGGGAGAGAGAGAAAGGCGCGACGAGAAAAGAGGACGAAGATTTTCAATTACGGTCAAAAACCAGCTGCGGCGAGGGCGACGAAGGGTGATCCTGCGCGAATAGAAAATAGGTTGAAACACAGAGGCTCGTGCCAAGGTTGGATGCAATTTTTGAGGCGCCTAGCCAGCGAACTGGGTCACGTGCGCCGGAAGTGAACGTCACGAGAATTAAAAGTCCTCCTTCTACCAAGTCGTCCGGTGCCAGGCGTCGAACCATCGCCACGTCCAGGAATTCCGGCTGAAAGATTCGCTTCTTCTCTTCCTTCTCTTCCTCTTCGTTCCCTCTTTTCCTCCTCTCCGTCCTCGGTTCCCTCTTTCCTGCCAGCCAACATCCTCTTCCTCGCCTCTTTCAACTTTACAGAGACACCGACCACGAGAGACGCGAGGATCACGGCAATCTCTTATTTTCCGCGCGACCGATCAGCTCGGCGCGCGAATTGGAAAACGCGAGCGGCAAGAGAAGTAAGTTTCACGAAAGAAGCGATTGGTAGAGGGAAGCAGCGGGGCGAGGAGAGTGGTCTTCCCGTATACGGGATTTTATTCGGTCGTTTTCCATCGGGCTCAGAGAGAGATTTTTGCGGCGATCGAAACCTTCTCTCCCGTTCTAGTGAACTCGTACAGCAGCACGACGATCGTCCCGTTATATCTTGTAATTATGCATCGTGCGATAAAGATTTCGCCAATACCGCGGTCCAGGGTAATTTAAGGAACTCTTGAGATCCTGTTACCTCAGCTTTTAATTAGGTATTTCTCTTCTTTGTCCTCGTGTAAAGGTGATCAACGCGCGCGCAAATGTTATATATTCGTCGAGCTACAAATAATGTAGCGTCGTTGTGAAAATCGAAAACAGGTGCCAGACCAACGATCGAATTAATTCGATTGTATTCGAAGTTTGCGTAGCAATTTTAATACGCGGACTCGTGGATACCTGCTCCTTCATTTTCTTTCGATTACGAGTCAAAACGCTAGGCGAATGTCAGTGACCAGACAAATTCGCCGCTCAGACAGGTCGTTACCGTCTGAACGACTAATCGCGTAGAACTCAATGAACTCGACGAAAACACGCCGAAGGGCAAACACAGAGAGAAGAAGAAAGAAGAGACAGCCTAGCGAACTGTGCTCGCAGCACAACCGCTCGCGCATGATTGGAAATTAGATTAGTCACGTTGAAGCGGCTTTCAACGAGCCTCGTCGTCCTCCGTGCATTGTTACGTTGTTAAACTTTCAGCTGCGATACACATCGCACTGTGCGGGCACGAAAAAGAGAGGGAAAAAAAAGTACGCTGTCCGTATTGTCACCCCTCTCGTTGTTGGAAAGTAGGAAAATCATCGAGGAGAGTTGAAAAACGAATTCCAGGGGAAAAAAAAAAAAACGTTCCGTCACCGTAAACACCACGCTGCGGACGTTTCCCGGCTAGTAATACAGTGGAATTCCATTTAATGGAACGAAATTTCAGTCGTTCGATCGAATCGAGCGTCGACGAGAGATCACACAGACAGTGGAAAGTTTCGGCTGTCGAATATTTTCACTCGAATCATTCGCGTATTTGTGATTAACTTGGCGACAATTGTCTGAAACGAAATCCACCCGAAAATGGAAGAGCGACGCAAGTTTCTTCTCTTTCGTTTTTCTTTTTCTAGGCGAAATTTCTCCAATACCGTGAAACGATGTTTCGCGGGAGACACCGGGAAACGGAAGAAGTTTAACAACGAACTCGGTTCGCCGTAGAAACACAGCGTACGCGGGCCAATAGGGGAAGAAACGATCGAGGGTGGGATAGAACGGATCAAAGAAAGAGAGAGAACGGTAGGAGGGCGAAAAGCTCGAAAAACGGAAACTCCTGCGGAGGAGAAACAACCTGGAAAAGCGGCGTAATGCGCAGTAAATTGGGGCCACCGTGTGTTGCCGATGTACCACAAATCTTAGAAGCTAGAAGGTTCGCGGCAAGTTACGGTTGCCCGGGTTCGCTGGAAAAGTCAGAGAGAAAGAGAAGAGAGAGATAGAGAGGGCAGAGGGGCGGCAGAGGTCGTAGGTTGAGACAAGGACGAGGTTGTTTGGACGGTCGTTGGTGAACGACGTTGAGCCGGCGCACTTCCGTTTCCAGCTGCACGGGAACATTTCTCAACTACGACGTCGGCGAACGCCGCCAGTTGTATTCCTTATCGCAGCGACGCCTCGAATCGAACGCAGAGAGGTTGACACGGCGTTTGGCAAGAATTTAAAGATGGCTTATCTGGCCAGCGTGTTTGTTGTTTCGCTTCCGTGAAATTTTCCGAGGAATATCGTTGGCGCAACGATTGGAGAAAATTACGTCTCGATCGATGACGGCGATCGTTTTGCAGTTTATGCGAAAAATCGCTCACGCTGCTCGAAACGATCGCCGTAGATTATTTTCCGTGTTACAACTCGTAGGAAACTGACGAGAGAATGCGATTCAAATGGATCATTTTCCAGTTTGATTCCAGTTCCCTCTAGAAGAATCGAATTTGCGTAATCACGGGAACGATGTGTCAACCTGCCGATTTCATGCGACTGCTTCGTAAGCGCAGTAATATCGAGAACCGAGAACATCGACGATCCTCCGAAGAAGCGATCTTTCAAAATCGCGAGCAATCGAATCGATACGGCGAATAAATAAAAGATAAAACGCCGGGTTGTTGGAAACGGTCGCGTCACGCTCGTCCTTAGCCCTTTATCTAGCTGTTGCCATTTTTCTCTCGAGAGCGCCGCTTTCGTTTTCCCCACGCTGGCGAAATCAAAGACGATGGCAAAGCTGTCTGAGCCGTCGACCGCACGCCGCACAATGCCGGAGATTTTGATTTATCTATCGCGTGAGTTTCCCCGTTTGTGTCGGTGAACGAGAACGAAACGAACGAGCACGCGTTCGTCTTCTCCGTGGAGTGGAGCGTTCGAAGGGTGGCAGCCGCGATACGAGCTCGAAAAGAGGACAGAAAGGCCAAGACAGTGGAAACGCGCACAGGGGGTACGGTTACGCGCGGATTAGGAGCAGCCAAGTGTGTGATAACACGAACGAATAGAGAGAAACTCTTCTCTCCTGTACCTAACTCTGGTTTACTCCTTACTCGACCCCTTACGCAACTTGAAATTGCTCTCGAGACTGCCGCTCGTTAATGCTCCGTTCCGCTTCAACGTGTGTATGTGTGTGCAGCACGCGTTCCGAAACTTCGGCTTGGTTGCACAACCAACCAAATCTCCACCCTTTTTACCCGTGGGCTCGTGCGTGGAATACCTATCACCTGCCAGACGAATCGCAAAAGAATCGTATCAAGCGTTTCACAGCGATTTATATATATATATATATATATAAATATAAAATAGAAAATTTCACCGTTGAAGCGGTATTGAAATAAACAAAAGGAAACAATGAAAATACACTCTGACGTTCCCCACGAATTACATTAACTGCCTCCCTCGTCGAACCGACCGACTCAGCGAAAGCTTGAATTACAGAAGAACTCGCGCACATCTGCCGCGATATTTTTCCAAATATTTATCCACCAGTTAACCCCGTAACGCGTGTTTGTCCTCTAATTGCAGCGTGGCAAACACACGTACACACGCCGTGGCCACTGTCGATTCTTGCCGCAACAATATCACTTCACACACGTCGTTTCTCCTAAATCGATTAGCGAACGAATTAATTCTCGCGTGTGGCCGTGTTGTTTCGTGCACAGAGTGCTTCCTAAGCACCGGCCAGCAGCAACGTCGATCCGCTAGTTCGTTTCCTAAGGGGATCTTTCGAGGGGGTCGAAGGGACGATCCTCATCGGCGATAGTAAAATGCAACGGCGTACACACAGACACCCTCCCGCTGCTGGCTGGCTGGCTACTTCCATCCTCGTTATTAAACACATCGTGTTTGCTTTCCGATAAATGTTTCAACGGTCAACCGGTAAGCGCGGCCGCCGTGTTGCGGTTTCGCCCGACCGGATATGCAGTGCGTCGATCTACGTCGGCCCCCTCTCGACCCAACCTTCCCTGACGTTTGAAAACCCACCCTACGCATCCACGTAGCGTTGTTGCGCCACCTTCCACTCGTGTATCCCCGCACACGTTCGCCGATGACAATTTTTCCGCAGGCGGAATTCGATACCGATTTCGAATTAATTTTTATCGAATGCTAAACGATTGCAAAACCACAGCTCTTTAAACCTTTAAGCTTCACGCTTTAGCGTTTATACGAAACTTACCGTTTGTATACACGACTCTGCCGAACTTGTGCGATAACTTTTCGAGTTACCTTGTAAAATTAACGAAAGCGATGCGATTTCTACGTTGTATGGTATCTAGATTCGCAAAGAATGTCTCCTTCTTACCAATTACCCGCATGCAGCAAAAAGCATCGACTGCCGTTCGTTTCCTCGACTCTGACCACGGGGCTTTTCGTCGTCAACCGGTCGCCACGGAAATTCACGTTCGACTACTACGAAGCGCGGCCATTTTTCCAGCCGCTTCGGGTAGAACACGGCCGCGCTCGCGGCGCGGCGCGTAAATATTCGCGCGGTCTCCTCTCCTCACGGAGAGGAGGCTTAATAAAGAGTGCTTAATTGGCACAAGGACAGAGCCGGGAGGCAGCACCAGTGGTGGACAGGTCGCCGGTTTGGAATCGGCGCTCGCTGAAATCGTAAATACCATGGGCACTCACCTATATTTCGCGCCGCGACCGTGCAACCGCTGGTTAGGAGCCACGCAAACACCAGGCCACTGAGTAGACCTTTCCGTCGACCCTTGCGGCACTCCATCGTGAAGTTCCGAGCTCCGACTACGCCTGCAAACAAAACAACCCAGCATCGTTAGAGGGTGAGAGAGTAATTGCTACCGCGAGCGGTACACCGCGCCAACGCGCGGCAACCCGATTTTTCATTACGCTGTAGCATTTTTCCCCGGACAAACACCTCGAGTGCTCGGGGGGTCACGATCTCTCTCCGGGTGAAATCCGTGTCTTGTAGATTTAACGAGCGCGAGACGCGCAACAGCGCGCGAAACGCGTACGGAATTTCAGAACACTTGGAACTTCAAGCGTCGAGGATTTTCGGAGAACTTCCGAGCTTTCGATTTTACATTTTTTACGAATTAGAATCGGTAAGTGGAACAACCGTGCAGAGGCTTTGTCAAACTCGACGAATTCATCGAATCGGGGGATGGTGCGATCGCGACTAACAGTCGCGTGTTTACGCGTGTTCGACACGCATCGCACGCCTCCCTCCTTTTTTTTTTTTTTCTGTTTTTTCACCGAGCTTTAAATTCGATGTCAGTCGCATTCTCGCGAAATCCCTTTGTCGCGCGGCATTACCGAAAGGAAAACATGTTATCCGCGCGATTTCGCGCCTAATCCAGCTGGCGCACCTGCTCCCCCGTCGCCGCTGAAATTCACAACGATGACGGTGCGTCTCGTCGCGCGGATTTTTTTATATTTTTTTGTCACGCGCGAATGCCGCTGCTCCAGCACGCTTACGCGGAACTTTGGATAAAAAAAAGCGTTCGAACGGCCGGAACCATTCGCAGGAGGTACAACAGGCGTTCTCGCTAGTTCCCCTATTATCGTCTCCGTTTTTGAAAATCGAGCGACAATAGAGAAGCGCGGGCGGCATGTATGTAGGTGTCGGTGAGAGAGAAAACTGCAACGCCGTTGTCGGCGGAACGATATAAATCAGCTTAATTCAGAGGGAACGAACGGAATAAACACGGTGGAAGAGGGAAAGGGTTGTGTGTGCTTGCGTCGGTTTACGGGACCGACTCTCGAGGGTTAGGCATGCGAGTCTCGAGCCGAACGCGCCACCGTGAATGTGGGTTAACGAAGGCAAAAAAGGAAAACAGTTTTCGCATCAGCGTTTCGGCATTTAGCGGGCGCCGGCACAATGGGACGCCAACGTCGAATGAAAACATTCGGAGCCAACGACGAGAGGAACGGAGAGGAGAGATATAGAAAACGAAACGAAACGAAACGAGACGAAATGAGACGAGACGAAACGAAACGAAACGAAACGAAACGAAACGAAACGAAGCGGAGCAGAGCAGAGCAGAGCGGACGACCAAAGAGAAAAAGGGCTCCGAAAAACAGAGGGACGGAAATAGAGCGCGGCAACGCCAATACCGTGTTTTTCCCTCCCCGCACGCTTTCACAGACTGCACAACCGGAATCCTAGCAGAAACTCCCCAACTATTTATTTCCGTTCGACGTTGCACCGCTTATGCTTTCGTTCTCGTTTTTCCTGGTCGCGCGAAATCCGGCCTCGCGGTTCCACCAAACGCACACCCTCTCCGTACGTGTCCTCTGCGATTACCTTCTTTGCCAATTTTTTCCTATCGGTGCGGCTCTATCCGTCGTCTCCGGTACGCTTCGCCGATTTTGCTATTTATTTGCTTGTTCGTTCGATCAAGTTTTTCGATCAACTTTTGCGAACACTATTGGAGAAACGTAATTGAATTTTATACCAAGAGAGGACCACTGATTCTTTCTTCATCGTGAGCGATCTCTTCGTCTCTCTCAGTAATGGCAGTTCAGGACAAGTACAGTCAGACGTCAACAGTTTTGGGAACCTGGTCCGAACAAACCGAGTTCTGATAATTCCGCGTTCGTTAATTCTCATCGTACGAAACATTTTCGGAACACACAACAGCTGGACAGTTGCACCGTTAACCCGACAACGTGCCCAAACACCTCTAACTCGATCTTCGAGCCAGCAGCCATCGTTTCCATATCAGTCAGCGGACAACAACCACCGCCGTGCCACCTCGATTTACATGGGACCGCGTTACGACGTAGTTCGCAAGCAGAGCACGATCCCCGTGCAAGCGTTCAAAGGTACTAACGACCGGGATACCTGGAGCGGTGCCAGTAGTCGAGCAACACGCGACGGCTAGCAGAGCAACCGGGACCGCGTGAATTTTTCCAACGAGCCTAATTAAGTCGCGTGGCCGGCCTCGCCAGCGTCCTCTTTCTCTCTCCACCCCTTTGTTTCCCTCCCGGGAGTCGCTACGTCCACGCATATATCGGACAACGTGTACCAGCGGCGGTGACAATCAGCTATTCTCTCTCTTTCCCTCTCTCTCTCTCTCTCTCTCTCTCTCTCTCTCTCTCTCTCTGCCGTTACAGTTGCCATTCAATGGCGGTTAATACGAGCCGGCAGGACGAACGTGCAATCGCAAGCGCAACGTCGTGATTATCGCGGAAACATCTGTAAACTCGCGGAGTAACAATGATAATTGAATACAGCGAAGACAGAAGGAGAGACAGAGAGAGAGAGAGAGAGAACGGCGCAGTCTTCAGACTACACATCCAAGCGTGCGCAGGCACGCGGTGCACACGTCCGACGCATTACGCATAATTAATCCGGCGATGCTTATCTCTTCTAACCCTTGTATCCACGCGCGTTCGCGTTCATCGCGAATAGAATCGACCGCGCGCGATTCTCTTTTCATCGCCGCAGCCTCCACGTTCGGGGCGTGCACTCTGTCGTCCTCCTTTCCTCCCTGCCTGTGTTTTCTAGCAGTTTGGGGCGCCGCAAATCGCGAAACGCGAGCAAATCACGTGGATCCGCGTGTCGTTTCAATGGACCTTTTGAAGTTTAGAAACGTGTGAAAACGAGGCGTGAAATTCGGCGCGATCTATTCACTGACTCGACAGATCATCCGAGTTTGGTAAATTTCGAAACGGTTCGCGAGGTGATTTGTAATTTCACGGCTGCAAAGAGGAAAGCCAACGTGAAAGAAGAATTGTCACGCTCGTGTAATAGACCACCGTGTATTCAGTCGGTTATTGACTTGGATCCGGGGGGAAAAAATGCGAATTCGCGAGCAGCCGTGCGCCTTCCTCCTCCGTGGCGAAACGTTATTGTTTGCCCCGGCGGTGCCGAGCTAATTACATTCCCACGGACGCGCGTATTTGCACAAGCGCCGCGATAATTGCGATAAACCCGATGACAACGCGATTTCCATCTCTCGGAAGTTGGCCACTCGCGTGTGCGCGCGAGCGCGCATATACCAGACGTACGTATGTATGTATGTATGTGTGCAATTGGCTACGCGCTCCTAGGCGCGCAGCGTAATCTCAGAGGCGGCCGATTTTTCTCCGGCGACTGAATACGCGATTCCTTGGAAACCGCCAGAGCTGGGACCAACTGGCGCTCTCTCTCTCTCTCTTTCTCGGTATTTTTGAAGATCGGTAATCGAGTCCCGCGGGCTGGCTCTGGCCTCGCTCGCGGAACCGGCATCCGGCGCGCAGAAATTCTAAGAATCCAGCGACGCTTATCGCCTCGTCGAATCGGTTCGCTCCGCTTCGATTCGCGACTCGATCTCCGGCAAAGCAGCCGAAGAGGAAGCGTATTTTTCGAAGAGTTCTCGTCGACGATCCGGGAACAGTAACGGTATTCACATTTCGGTAACATCGAGTTCCGAATTATTTAAGTAAGGAATCTAATCACACTGGTTGTATGATCGTACGGTTAGACGAAAGTCAATTCGTTGCTCAGGGGCACAATTTTAACCGGGGGGAAAATCGTGAGTCACACGTGTATTTTCAACTGTCGACACTCTCGCGACTCTTATTCTTTTACTACGTAAAAATTAGCTAGCTTCCCATAACTAACTAAACCGTCATTGTTACTTCCAGCCATTCAAATATTCGTGCTAATAGAAATTGACGAATAGTGCGAATCACGAGCGTGCAAAGCTACAGAACGCATACACACATACACACACACAGGTGTTGGAAAGATCATGCGTGCGCAGGCGAATAATTTCATATCGAGAGAGAGAGAGAGAGAGAGAGAGAGAGAGAGAAAGAGGTGACAGGACAAGTGAATTATCAAATAGAACGAGCCACTGGTCTACGGTGAAATTGATAATTATCCAGCGAGATTTCGCGGCGGGCAGAAAACGAGAACGGGTTGAAACGGGCGGAGCGTTAAAACGCGGGAGAGAATGGCGATAACACGGCCGATCGAGCACGATTCGGGATAATTCGGCGGGCCACTTAAAATCGTTCGGGGGTAGGGCGGGGGGTGATATGCCGCGAGGGGATGGCGAAGGGCGGGCGAGTCACCGGTAACTAGGCCGCTTTGTCCCCTGTCGGCCGTTCCGGCGCGATTTCGCGACGTTTTCGAGCACGAAACGCGTTAATCGTCGGCCGAACCCTCCGCGAGACGAATCAGCCGTACGAAAGCACCGTCCGCGTTGTTCCAGACGCGAAACTCTGCCGCTGGATGCTGAGCGGCGGCACGCGCTCGCGCCCGAAATTATTTGTTGAAAATCACATTATCGAGTGAACACGTGGGGCCCACGCTCGCGCACGCTCGCGCACGCTCGTCGGATTTGCAGGTTTCAATTTTACACCCAGACGCATTTTAATGCGGCCGCGGAAACCCCGAACGCGATCGCCATTCCCCGGTGCAATTAAAAATAATTGCGTATTCGCGTGCTGTGCGAATTGCCGGTGGCTCGCGGGACCGCAACCCCGGTTTGCTTGCAGGCGTTGGCGGCGCTCGGGCTCGCGCTCGCACGATGAGTTTCGTTTCGTCGATGGACGAGGCGCCACGAGCTTGATTAGCCAGTTATTTCCCGCCCGTGGCATTCGTACGTTGGCTCGAAAGGATCGAAATAATCGACGGTTCGTTGCGCGTCGCCGCTGCGCACTCGAAATTGTTTAATGGATTTCGAGTGTATTGTTAAACAAAGAGAAAACAGAGGTATAATAAATCGACGAGATCTGTATTGCCTTGTTACGCCGGGGATACAGGTTCATTGTTAGATCGAACGACTACCGCCCGA